TCTTTAGGTAAAATAATATTCATAGGTAGAGCTTGAGTAATAGAATTTTTTCCAGTTTCATTATTAGAAAGTATCGTCTTGCGTTTGTTTGTATCATCTAACATAATATTATAAGGCACAGCCTGTGTTACAGATATGTCTGCGGCGTCGCTTTCATACACTATTGTCCTTCTTTTCTCAGATTTATGATCTTTAGGTAAAATAATATTCATAGGTAGAGCTTGAGTAATAGAATTTTTTCCAGTTTCATTATTAGAAAGTATCGTCTTGCGTTTGTTTGTATCATCTAACATAATATTATCAGGCACAGCCTGTGTTACAGATATGTCGGCAGCGTCGTTTTCATACACTATTGTTCTTCTTTTCTCAGATTTATTCTCTTTAGGTAAGATTATATTCATAGGTAGAGCTTGAGTAATAGAAATGTTTCCAGTTTCATTATGAGAAAGTATCGTCTTGCGTTTGTTTGTATCATCTAACATAATATTATCAGGCACAGCCTGTGTTACAGATATGTCTGCGGCGTCGCTTTCATAGACTATTGTCCTTCTTTTCTCAGATTTATTATCTTTAGGTAAAATTATATTCATAGGTAAACCTTGAGTAATAGAAACATTTTCATTTTCATAAACAATGGTTTTCCTTTTTTCAGTGGTGTTTACTGGGGAGCAGCCCATATCAAATATAACAATATTTTCTTTATCTGCCACTAAATCTTTGTATTGACTTCTATTGATTTTAATTGAATTATTTTTAGACACTTCCTGCACTTTTGGACTATGAATAGTATCAGTTATGGACATATCAGATACATCATTTTTCATTGTTACATGAGTAGTATTTAGATCGACCTCAATATATTCTGATAAGTCTGCCCTACCAGTAAAGGGACCAGGACAGAATATATTGCTTTTAACCCGCAACAAATCTGCTTGCATTTGATCTAGGTCATCTACGACTTCACTAGAACCTATTGTCTGTATGGCAGAGAAGTTAATGTTGATACCACCAGACTCTTCACCCATTGTAGAAACGACAAAATTCTCACCAAAGACATTAGTTTGTTGATCGGTAAAAGAGCTCATTTCGAAATTCTGCTGTGGAGCTAACAAAGTTTTGTCACCGCTAGTGCATTCAAGAGAGGCCAACTGTTCGGTGAAATTAACTTTATTCAATGAGGTATTAATAGTTCTACTGGGGTTATCGAGCGAGGTGAAGTCCACGGCTTCGACCTCTTGAAACTGTTGGTCAAATATCCGTTTCCCGAGATGACCAATAGTCTGCTTCGGCGGATTCGCTACAGAATCGTTTCCGGATAACTCGAGAGACTTGTTGTGCTCTTCGTAAAAATTCTTCCATGTTGTTGTTGCTTCGTTGGTAACGAATTCTCTGAAAATAGATATTAGTCGTAAACATAGGAGTAAAACATTTCCTATACTATACAACACAAGAACAGCGCAAATGTGAATCAGGTTGTCTATTAATGTCATTATTTTGACCAATAAACTTACGTAGTTTTTAAGATTATTAACCAATTCGAAATGCGAGTGTCAAACCTTACTTGTTAGTTCACAGTACTAAATTGTAATATTGTTGTTCGGAACAAAATCGTTCAATATTAATTTTAAGTTAACTTTTTATTCAATAGGAAATGAATGTAGTTAAAAAATAGAGGAAGTTTAATCTAAATATTATATGTGTACCTATATTAAACTACTTTCAACCGTATATAAAAAACAGAGGAGGTACTTTTATAGACGCGCCATACTTTTTACGAAAGTCGACAAATACTCACGCAACCCCGGTTCGCCTGGAGAAGCTGACACGACGACTTTTAGCCGTGTCCGTGGGTGTAGCAACGTGAAATTCCAGCTCTGAAAATGGAGTGCGCGGAGGTCGCTGGCTTTTCAATATCGAAGACCTACGCTTACGTCTGAAACAAATAAAACAACGCTAGAGTTAAAGGACGGATTGAGACGGGGACAGTAAGGGTAGTTATTTTAAAGGTCGGTGCATATCAGACAAGATCCGTCAAGCGACTTACAGAAGCACTCGTTGATAAGCGATGGACATCATATATTTTGTCAGTTCTGACATTCCGCGATCTACGTACAAGACTCGATTTCGTCAAATATGCACCAACTCCTGACAATTATAGTAACATACAAAAGCTCCTAGAAATCCAAAACTTTTTAAGATATCCTGAACTGCATTCACAAATTTAAAAAAGAAATACAGTCCGCAAAAAACTGCCAGAAAACTAAAAACAAGACTTTTGGACTATTTAAGGAATAAATGTTAGAAATACCAGAAGTTATCACATATATTTGTGTATACAAACAAATATATGTGACAGCTTCTGGTATTTCTGTTCAGCCTGTTTTGTTAAGAGCTCGTAGACTACGAAAATGCCTTCAATTTGGTTGAGTCTCTCTAAAGGTGCCAAGTGTACTACGGCATGCGTAACGTAATGAACTCGAGAACGTTTTGTCTGCCTACATCAAATGTCACTTTTATTGAGCGCGCCCACAAGACATCTCACTAAAAACCCGAGAAGAGTGTATTATGTATGCATATGCAATTACAGAATCAGAACTCAATTCCCATCCAATTGTAGCAAGACATAAGCCAAGAAGAAAATATATCACTAAAGTTCATCTTCACTGTGTTGGACATTTTCGAGTTTTTGGACAGCAAAATATACGCCACGAACATTTCTAACATCATGGTCAAAGGTAGGTTCCAAAGAGTGGGTCTTAACATGGACATGGATACGACGCAAATCATGTCAAATATCCCTGTGGTACCCACTCTAGTATAAATTGGCAATAACACTCATAAACTACAAGAGACCAAACTTCTTCAATTAATTTTGAGCCTTAACCTGTTATGCTAAAATCTAAAAATAATTGTAGAAATAATCCTATTGTCCTTCAGCAGTTAATATAAAACAAGGACTAAAATTAGTAAATGGTTTAAGCCAAAGATTGCCTCAAGCAAATCGACCATAACAAAAGAGAAAATCTCAACTTGCGAAATGTTGACTTATTTTTGTTGGATAATGGTTTAAGCCTCATACCAAAGTTAGTCCTTGATTTACAAAAAGGTAGTATAAATTCTGTTTTATCGGTTTTAAGACATAGGACCCAAAAAAATAATATAGTGACAATGGATTGTAAACATACAAATACTTAGCAACATGACAGATTCAAATGGAGAGAACTGTTTCAACCAATTTGAAGTTACTAGAAGAGAGCCTATTACATGAGCTCATAGACAATGGAGATGTAACTACTTTTAAACAGTTTTATTGCACCTATTTTAAATACTTCTTTAATTATTAGACGCATTTTATTATCCTTTACTATTAAGATAGATATATACTAGAGTAAGATTTTGGTCTTATTGTAATAATCATAAACATACCTTCAAACAATACTTAATGGACAAATTAACTATATTAAAATTTTTGTATCATAAATGTATTGTTAAAAATACACATAATAAAACTAGCTATACAGGATGTTTGGAAATACATGTATAATCCCGAAACATGGCCATACAACCAAGCACATAGAACACAATTAATATGTCAAAAAACAATTTCACTTTAATTGAGATTTTCATACAAATATTTGAACAATTTGTTTTCCATTAATATGCTACAACCCTGAAAGCTTACACGTGCCGTCCCGGCGTACTCGCTCTTTCTCTTATTACCTCTCACTCTCTCTCGTTTCCTAGAATACACTTTGATGTCGCCGACGCGCGCACTCGACTGCGTATGAGTTAACTTGTACTTAATTAAAACAATTTAAGATTAAACAAGTACATACCTAGAGGCAGCGTTCTAATCACTCTTTCAGCTCGCACTTGTCAACATTACCTACACTTCACCTCCACTTTATCAGTCCAGGGTCTCGATATGCCGGCTAAGCACAAACATCACATTCGACTCGACACAGACCGTGTTACTCTCGACGTAAAATCATATCCTCTGTCTCGGTGGAATAGGTGTTCGGCCTGCCTTCCTGTAGCACACTATGGAATGAACCAGTTGTATGTAACCGATTCACAAGTACCGCGAAGCAATGGTAAGAAGGAAGACGTCGAGAGTTTTCAGATCTTCCTGCGACGTAGCTATCGTCATAAAGCCGCCGAGCCGCAGCAAGATTACCGTCACAAGCACCAACACATTGCGTGTTCATCATCCATCCATCAGCCATCATCTCGTAATAGTCGGCATTTGAGTACGAACTCATTGCACTGACCACACACAAACACAACACACAGGTAAACAGAACGAGTATGAAAAACAAACCAAAAGTCCCGAAAGAACGAAAACGTAAGTTAACCTTCTAAATTCTGAAAACTCACAAGTACACCGATGAAACTTTCAGACGCGACTGAAGCGATGACCAGAACTATATAGGTAATTATTGCAACTCGAACACCAACGTACCTAAATCAAAAGTGCACTGATTTAGGGTTCCGCGTCATCAAATTCTGTGTTAGGTAACCTACCTAACAAAAAATCATTATTTTTTAATTTAATTAAACAATGAAATTTCAAATTACTTATTATACAATTTTTTTACTGATGAAATTGATAATTAGGCTGTTTACTTATCATTACAATTTTATTTACGCTTTTCACGGTTACAAAAGAAAAAAAGGCCATAATATTAAAAGTGGTTACCTAATTTAAGACCAAGTCGTTAACAAAATTATAAGGCATAAAAAAATTATTGATTAAATTAGAAAAGAAAAGAAATATTATTTATTATTAGACATTTCCATTACAACTAACCTTTAATTAATTATCATTTAAACTAAGAATAAGCGAGATTAAAAATTCCAACTATTATTTTAGCCAACATCGGCTACACACGCAGTGCTGCAGACACAAACCTATAGAAGCTGAGTTTTATAAGTAAAAGTCATTAACAAAATTATAAGGCATAAAAAAATTATTGATTAAATTAGAAAAGAAAAGAAATATTATTTATTATTAGACATTTCCATTACAACTAACCTTTAATTAATTATCATTTAAACTAAGAATAAGCGAGATATTTACATTATTAATATCATTTTATAAGTCCGTATTATATTGTTTCCTGAAAATAACACTGCTTTATGAAATAAATAACAAAACTTCAAAGCAATTAATCTACAGAACCTTACCGACACATCAGAAACCCGAATTTCTGAATACACATCATCGTCGATTTTATGTCTCTGTCACTCCTTCTTGCATAGACTAATGTGAGCAATAGTGCAGATATTAGATATCTGCACTTCAATCAAAGTATTTTGCAATTTCTTTTTATTTTGACTGTATTATTAGAGAAGTTTTCATAATAATAGTTTTTGAAACACCATTAATAACAAGATTGGTGTTTTTTTATGGTTAAAAGTCATTTATTGCTAACATTTTCTTTGTTTTTGAAATAATAAATTACTCTCGGATGCATATTTTATTCTAGGCATTTATCTTTAGATTAATTTAACTTCTGTTATTTTTTAAACTAGTTCGGCACATGAAGTCTATGACCAAATACAACACAACGTCAGCTTATATACGTCCTGATGATTTAACATATTCACTGTTACAATTTATGTAGATCCTATTATTAGACAAGATCATACTTTTGTTTTACTTATTTATATTTTGTATAATAATTAAGTTAAACGGAAACTTAAATATTATATAAAATAAAGATTAACTATCATCTGCGTCTCTGTATGCATTTCTGAAAAAAGTAAAAAGTAGTTGATAGACTAACTTTTCTATAGAATGTCACATTTTGTTAATGATAAAATACTTTAAACTTTCTCTCCCATAGTTTATATCATATGGGTCACGGGTAACATGTTTTAACTGTCCAATACTTCTATCAATTCAATAAAAAAAGTGTACTAAAAGAATTATATAAAATTAACTTACGTAGCAGCAGATGCTGCGTCGGATGGTCGGCTTTGATGTGTATCGTCCATATTCAAAGAAAATCAAAGACACGTCAATGTAACACAAGTCATAATTAACTATCCGGTGGTTTAATTTATATTAGAGAAGTTAAAACCAATTATAAATTCGATTTAAACCAATTGAAACAAACAAACAAAACATAAAAACGAAACGGCAAAAGTATAATTTGAAATTGACGTAACATTGACAGTTATTATCTTTTTGTTGCCATGACTGTTTTTTATTTTTTTCTAGTTATAGCTTTGGAAACGTGTGGTGATCAAATCAAATTGCAAATAAAACATATTCTGCATTTCTATCTAATAATAAAAGTCTGCGAATATTTCCCCATACATTGTTATGCTTAGACATAAGCATTCTGATTAATGGTGTAGATTAATGAATTAATGAACTATCTTTGCTATTCCTGTTGCAGTGTGACTATTCAAGTAGGAACAGCTCGTCCAATATTTATTTATTTATTTATTTATTATTATATTAATATATCTCTTATGAACGGAAGAAGTCTATGATTAATAAATCCAACTATTATTTTAGCCAACATCGGCTACACACGCAGTGCTGCAGACACAAACCTATAGTTTTATAAGCAAAAGCTTTATAAAAATATTTTTATTGAATTACTAACAGTATAAAAATGACGCCAAGTGCGGTAACAGTAAGCAATGTTGTATAGAAAGAAAATATTCCCAGCCAAAGAAGAACAACAGCATAGTCTTCTACACTCGCCAATCCAGACATTACATTGAAGAGTTCTACATTTCTAATTAATTTTGTATAAAAATTCACCAATAATTTTGAAACATAATATTATATTATCACCACATAACGGATGACTTTGACAATTGTTGTTGACAATCAAGAGTAATATCAATGCTCTTTTATTCGTCTGTGGCTTCAAATATTTTCTTGATATATGGTTGTGCCAGTGCCAGTCTTCATAGGTGTTGTAAGCATAGATTTGCTACATAAAAATGTATGGTAAATGAATTTTCAAAATCCATGTAATATAGTTATTGATCGAAGAATATAGGCACATTACTAATATCTAAACAACCATTCTTCCTTTAATAATAGTCACTTATTAAAACATAATGAGGAATATCGATTTCATAGCCACGATATGATTTATTCATCTTCCGTTTTCTTTTCCTATCATACTGGTAAGATTCATGTAATTGAAATCACATGACTCGTTTCGAGATCTTATAAATACGAGTTTATGAACAATTCCTCCTCTGAGTGACATTACCGACTAAAGTATACACAGAAAGCTGCAGATTTAAAAGGAGTTCATAAAAAAAAGTAAGAGAATACTACATAAAATAAAAGCAACAATGTTTTTAATGTAACTAAAATTCAGTTAATTTTTATTCATAATCCATTTCAGAAGAACTAAAACAGGACGAATATGTAGAACTTGTACTATTAGATGTTGAATCGGGTGGTTGCTGCGAATGTCTGAAATGAAGAAAATAAGATGTTTTAGAATTATCAAAAAAGCTCTCATTTATCTCTATAACTGCATACCGACTCAGTTGCACAGTATTTCATTTAATAATAATAGTAATATATTAAATTTGAATAGTAATAATTATTCTCTTCAGAAAACTTACACCGCAATGGATACATAAATAAGTATTCTTAATCTAAGAGGATTAGATTATGAATTAAGAAGACAAACCAAAGAACTCGCTTGTCATTATTATAAGTCCGTTTCAGCACATTAAAATGGAATCAATGGATCTGATTTTATATTAACCTATGTTTATATGACTGCCGCCGCCGTCTCCTAGATTTCTTTAGCTGTTCCTTTTTCATTCTTATTCCATCTCCTTTTATTTTCTTCTCACCTTTTCGACTTTCCTTACTGTCAGTCGTCCTTATACTTCTCTCATCATTCTCTTCTTCATAGTGACTCGACTTTGTTTGACGCTTTCGTCTGCTTTTATATACTTCACAGGAGTCTTTTGGCACTACTTTCCAAGCACCCTTTCCTTCGGCACGCTGGGTCTTCTAGAATAGAGAATAAACAATCATACACTATAACAGCCAAATTACAGTCATTCTAATGAAGTCAATAAATCATTGCTGTGGCTTTCCTTAAATTAAAACCCAAATTAATGCTCATCACGTATATATATATATATATATATATATATATATATATATACTAACATGAACACGGAGGATTTCATTAATATTTTCAAGATCGTTATTTAATAGATTTTGGGTCCATCTCCAAGCACTTTTTGATTTATATCGTCTCTTGTTTATTTTACGTTTGTACACATTCTTTTTAGTCGTAATATGCCGTGCAGAGCGCATATTTTTGTTTTCGCAAATAAAAATAACTGTGTATAATAAAAGTGTCAAATAATTTAGATCACCTTGATTAATTATTTACTCTCCTTTCAATGTTTGTTTGAGAGAGCATATTATATATAGTTTGAGATCATGAGAATTATAATAGGTTGGGGTTTGAGATCTTCGATCAACATTACAACTTTGAGTTTGAGTATTAAATCTAGCTAGGCCCACGGCCAAAAATTATATTGCTCGTATCTTATATATAATTAGATATAACATTTTTTAATTGATGTTTAAAATTAATTATATAATAAAAGAAATTTAATAAACAAATAATTATAAAATAGGTAACGAAACGTAATTTGTCATATGACTGTTGATAAACAGTAATGCCAACATTACAAAGTAATCCACCATTTTGGGGCAGCTGATGTTTTCGTGAGATACAGTAAAATTTGCAAATTTTGTAAATTAAATCTCAAAATGGGTGCATCTATTGTCCCTATAATTGTATTTACTGTCCTTTGGGGTGTGGTCGGCATTGTGTGCCCTTTCTTTGCTCCCAAAGGTCCGAACAGAGGGTGAGTTTCGACGATCTTTTACACATTCTTTTTGCTTATGATTATCCTTATTTCTAATTAGCCAATTATGAATTTTCAGAATTATTCAAGTGGTGTTAATGCTTACGGCTGCTACATGCTGGTTATTGTAAGTATATCAATGTTTTTTTTTACACTATAATAAATTATTTTGAAATTATTAGACACTCATTTAGGCTAAGTTATTTCTATTTTTGTAACATTCTAATGCTATGCAAGACTGTTTAAGAAAACTTATTTTGTTTCATAATAAAATTATCTGGAAAATCCACTCAGTATATTGTGCACAAATTATGAATGTCAGTGCACAAATTATGAACATATGGAACTGCTATATAAATGAAAGATACTAAAATCTTTAGACTAGAAAAATCAATTTTTCACTTATTCAATGTCTATTTAAAAATGTTCTAGTATTATATTATGATAGTATGGTAAGCTATTACTATTCTGAACATGTTTGCCTATTGTGAACATCATCATCAGCCTTTTTACGTCCCCACTGCAGGGGTTCAGGCTTTGCTTATGGATGGTTAAGGAGGATGGGCCATGACCGTACACCCTGGCCCAGTGCGGATAAGGGGGGTATTAAATGGCCGCAAATGCAGCCAGGACCATTGGCTTATCCATGAAAGACCCTAGTGAAAGTAACTTAACAACAACGACTGAGTGCCACTATACCACTGATCTATTTTGAACATATACTTTCCTAAAACTTCATAGAAAGTCATGCATAAAATTAACAGGTGCTATAGATGTTTCATTATTAAACTTCACTCCTAATCTTATAATCTAACTAGCTTTTGCCTGCGACTTTGTGGGCATGGTGTAGTTTTAAGTCCAGTAATGAGAAATGAAATTGTTCGAATTGAATATGTTTTTATTCAAGTAAGCTTGTTACAAGCACTTTTAATCGTCCAAAAATATTTTTTAAATTAGAGAATTCCAAAAAACTTTCATCCCCTAATTTATCCCTTTAGGAGTCGAATTTCATAAAATCCTGTCTTAGTGAGCACCTATGTCCAAAAAAGAACCCGCTTGCAAAATTTGAAACTCCTAGCATTTGTAATAATGAAGTTTCATACAAAATTTCCACCCTAATTAAGCCCCTTCGGAGTGGAATTTTATAAAATCGTCTCCCATTGCTTCTCTACACTCCCTAAGGAATCTTCATTCCAAATTTCAACATTCTATGCTCAATAGTTTTGGCTGTACATTGTCTGTCGGTCAGTCAACAATGCAATAATTTTATATATAATCTGATTGAGTTATTGTTATAATTCCAGCTGGCTGTGTGCGTATATGGCACAAATGAACCCCCTCGTTGGACCCAGACTGAACAATGAGACACTTATCTGGATTTCCTACACTTGGGTAAGATTTTGCACATCTAAATTCAAGATCACCTATTTGATCTAGTCAAATACCTATAAATTAACAATTATAAAACAATCTGAATCTCATGAACTATCATGTATTCGGAGATCTATAGAATAAAACTTTTTGCTGAGTAGATATAGGAAATTACTCTGTAAAGATTGAGGCCTTGTGACTTATATATTCCAGTATATATTTATTTTATATATGAAATTAAAAATTCATGTTTGTATTAAAGTTACTCTGTTATTCTGTAAACGTTTCAAGTTATTGTTAACCTGTTGTCCTTATCAATATCAAGCAAAAACAAGCAATAAAAATCATGTTTATTATATGGGAGCCCCCCATATTTATTTTATTCTCGATCTTAGTATTTGTTGTTAAAATGGCAACAGAAATACATCATCTGTGAAAATTTTAACTGTGCAACCTTCATGGTTCATGATACAGCCTAGTGACAGACAAACAGTGACTTCTTAGTAATAGGGTTACCGTTTTCCCAGTATGGCTATGGAGTTTAAAAAGAAGATGCCGATGATGTCACTTGCTATCCAGAGATCTATGTGTTGTTGTTATGAACTGCTGCATTTTTGTATATGATCTGCAGAAAGATACCAATGATACATACATATTGGTTACTTTAAAATCTCTTCTCAATTTTATTATCAAATTGTAGTATCTAATGTTTAAATTCTTTGAAAACATTTAAGAAAAACTCAATTGAACTCAAATTTCATTTCTAAATTGCAGATAAAGGAGACAATTTTTTTAAGCCCACTTTTTTCCTGGAGTGTTTACTGATCGTAATTGTACAAAAAAAAACATAAACTTAGTGTAGAATACTAGTAAAAAAACTACACTTTGTTCTAACAGGAAACTCAAAATTACATAAAAAATGTATGATAAACTTTCAAAACGCCTGTCGTTTTACTCTTAGCAATGTTATCATAAAGGAATCTTATCATTTATATTTGTAGTGGGCCTATTGACCATAGAACAAAAAATTGTCTTCTTTACAGAATCAGCGAAACCTTTATTATGATGACTGTTATGCAAAACGCTGCAGTTATGAACGATTGCATCTACTCCGCCTGCACATTTAGGTGCTTCTGTAAAATTAAATATGAATTCTCTGTAGGTATAACCAGCCTAAATTCAACTATATTCAATGTTTCACATTTCCCCTGTTGCCAACCAATGTACTAGACTGTTCTGAAAATTTCAATGGAGTCTCAACTGCTCGCATTTTACCATTATACTGCCTACCTGAAATCGAATATTATTAGTGTAATGTCTTCTTCACAAATCAATGGTGACAAATATTATTTTATGATCTTTAACATGAACTGTTTCATCGATTGACTTGATTTTCCAAGATTACGCTGACATTAGCAGAATCTGATGGGCCACAGCGTCATCTGTGCAGACCGCTTCCTGGGCCCATCGTTGCGATTATAGGTAAAAACCTCCTATACCTCCGTAGCTCCTCCATAGTAAGATGGAAGGTGCTAACCAGGTCACCAACTGACCCTAGTGACGTACAAAGGACGCCCAATACAGCTCAACGATCATCTGACGCAACTAGAAGAACTTAGAATGATAAATTGGGACATCCTTGTGCTACGTGAGGAAGAGAGGGAGAGAAAACCATACCCCTGTAATCAGGACATCTCTTTTACTTTCGATAGGGTGACCAGCAATCCCAGGGTGGCATAGGGTTGCGTACCTCATAATTAAGCTAATCGAGAGGTTTAATCTCAAGGTTGTGCAGGTTTACGCACCAACCTCGGCACACTTAGATGATGAAATGGTGGCTACATTAGAAGACATCTCTAGAGCCTTATACTTCAAAGGCTCAAACAACGCTGTGATGGGGAATTTCAAGGCAAAAGTGTGAGTACAGAGTTGCAAAAAATCAGTAGTAGGTCCTATGGGTGTGTGAAGCTAACTAATTTTCTCGAGATAAAGAGACTACTTGATATATTAACTCTTCAAGAAACAGCCTCAATGAAAGTGGACATGGCGAAGTCCCGATAGCAAAACTATAAATTATTAGATAAAAGAGGTACTTCATTATAACCGACAGGAAGCACATATATAAAGATGTTTCAATGATCAGAAGAATCAATACCGGTAGTAATCACCGAATCATACGAAGCTCTTTAAATATAGCCTGTAAATAGGAATTCTCAAAAAAAATCTTCCGGGGCTGGTGAATGTTTTGGCACAATGGAATTTATTCCGTAAAATAAACTCAGTGGATTTCATCGTTCAGCGTAAGGAGGTCTATAGGTGAATGTGGAAACACAAATACCTATTTAGATCATCAGCGACAGAACTTCGTTGCCTCCACTGGAGATGTAGACAAATATAATAATGTCATTATTTTTGAAGGAAGAACTCTGGACTGGAACATGTGTGGTATTATATAAATGGCTCACACTTGCGATTTGCCAACGACATGGTTGTCATGGTTGAAACGTTATATGATCTACAACAGGTGCTGAATAACCTAGGTCTACGGGTGAACTTGGACAAACCTAAAGTAATATCAACAAGAAAGTGTCATAGAATTTGTTCATATTCAAAAAGAAGATAGATGGATACAAAACAAGTTTAACTAGAAATCACTTTGAATTAAAAGAAGCGCAAATTTTACCAAACCTGTAACTTTAGGTAATGCCTTACTTTGGCCTTACTAAGCACTTGCTTGAATAGGCAAATTTTGTCTATGATTTTGCATACTTCAGTTCTTAGCAGCCGGTGCTATATTCCACCTTCATCTCTATTAATATATACAATGCTTTAGAGAAAATTGTGTTTATATTTTTATGTATTTTGTAAAAATTTTACTTAATCATTTTAATTTTTAGATCATTGAAAACAGAATTTCTGACTTTGGATTGGATCATACATAAATATCAAAAATCTTACAAATATGAGAAACATATAGCAAGTAAAAGACGAATCTAAAATGGTAGCGTTAGTGTAGTAACTCTTAAAGAACAAAAGTTTAATATTTTGTTATTATTTACACAGTACTTTAAGTTTTGAAACAGGGTTTTTTGAAAAAAATATTTTTCTCTGATATTTTGACATAAAGGTTTTATATAAAAAGAAGATAATAATCTAAATCTGTGTCGCCCGTGCAAGGTTATATCGATCCGCGTCAAATCTGGAGTGGCGGAATACAGAAAAAGTTTATATTTTTCTTGATTCCGCCACTGCACTCTTATATATAAATATAGACAAATATATGATAACGGTACTAATATCACTCCGACAACAATACACTAAGGCATATACGACATGTCACGTGATTACAACGTGCGTCATTCACGCACGCAATATCTTTCATAACTGTCGACCGCTTACAACACGATTACAAACGATTGAATTGGGTACGAATTAACTTCCTATTAAATAAGTTGTTACAATATTTTAGCATAGTTAAATCATGTAGTAGCTCGGTGGTGTAGTGGATAAGCATCGCGGCCCACGATTCGTTGTTGTCAAACAACTTTCGCAAGGCTCGATCACGAGATGGGTGACCAAAAAATTGTTATCTCGAGCTACACCGTGTTTCGGAAGGCATGTTGAACCGTTGGTCAAAGCGGCCTTTGCAGTCGTTAATACCCTCCTATCCGCATTGTGGAGGGTCACGGCCCATCCTTCTTAACCTTCCGTAAGAAAGGCCTGAGCTACTGCAGTAGGCACGTTAAAGGGCTGATGATGATGAGGTAGATCATTTCGCTTATTGATTTAGTGAATATTATTCGTACCATAGAAAAGTTTGAGTACAGGCAGGTCCATAGGCAAACTAGACATCTGTATCATTAGTCGTCGCTATTAGATATACCTCTGCAATTGGACTAGCCCCACCCTTTGTCCGCTGAGAAATCCCGAACATAACCTGAAATGTTTAACGTCGGCGATAAACATTTAAAATTTAGCACTGAAAATAAGCTTTTCCAAAAAAAAGCATTTGGATCTGAGATATCTGTTATTTACAATTCACTGAAGAAAACAACTTTGAAACTCAATAATTTCCCATTAAGCGGGGAATTCACTAGACGGGCAATCCCGCTGGAAAGTCTGCAGACATGCCGGCCAGACCTCTACTAAAGGGCGGGCATGTCGCTCTAGTGAACTCCCCGCTATTTGTGTAGCCCGGGAATAGGACTGCAGTGCCACAGCCGCGTCTTTCCATTCTGTACAAGGCCAGAACGCAGTGGTATGAAACTAATCGCGTATAAATTGTAAATCACTCGCGTATACGTCGTAGTGACCTAACTTATTAGCTTGTTCCATAATAAACATTACCAGTACGCACGTTCTGTACGATTACGTACAATAACTAATTTATATTTACTGCTGACGTGCAACCTACTTTGGCGTGCGGTCAATAATCTTAGTATATTATATATATCGACATTAAAGTTAGTTGTAATTTATACTTGATCAACTCATGTATCTACTAACTAAACTTATCTACTAATTAAATAAACTTAACTATTTACACAGTGCAGTGTTTAACTTGAACTATTATTCAACTTTATCCAAACTACTATCAACTACACTCTTCAAGACCCCAACATCAAAGTGGTCCTTCGAGCTTCAACAGGTACTTTTATATATTAATTTTGTTCGGTAGCGAATCGGTTTGTCTGGCCTCCCACAAGCGGGTCTCACTAGGCAAATTGAGAAGGCGCATATATCGTGCAAAACGAAAATTTATCTAGTACCTATTTTATACGCCCGTTCACTCTTCGTTCGTAAAAGAACCAATAAACCTATTGGAAATACTTTGATACTAATCTACAAAAACTTACAATGGCATCTGATATGCAAGAACTAATTACTCGTCAAGAAGAAAGCTTCCAAAAAATAAAGCAAATCTGCCAAAACTTCCATAAAGACAGCGCATCAAGAAAAACTTTAGATTACTTACAAAAAAGACTTATTGCTTTGAAAACCCAATGGCAAGAATTTGAGATGAATCATCAAATACTGCTTCAACGGGAAGACAAAAATATCGAATATTTTACGGATAATATTTATGAACGCACAAAAACATTATGTGAAGAAACGGAAAAGGAGATTCTTCAATTGAATAATGCGCTTCTCAAC